CAGAATGCCCAGTTAACAACCTCACAGAGTGGTAGGAGAAAGTAACAATGAGACGTCAAATGAGAAAGTGATGTGGACAACAAAAGAAAGGAAGGCAGGAAAAAGGGAGAAGGGGAAGAAAAGAAGGGAGTGCGGAGGGTACAGCTCAGTGGTAGAGTGTGTTCTTTGCATGCACAAGGTCCTGAGTTCAATCCCCAGTATCTCTATTAAATAAATCTAATTATCTCCCCCTAAAAAACAATTAATTAAAAAAAATTTTTTTAAAGGAAGAAAGAGTGGGAGGGGGAAAGAAAGGAAGAAAAGACAGAGAGAAAGGGAGAGGAGGAGGGAGAAAATGCTCAGAAATTAAACAGGCAATGTCCCACCATAGCATAGCTAAAGACAGCCTAACTGTATAGCTTCACCACTCCCACTTTATGGGATACATGTGGAACATTAACATGCTGGTAAATGAACTTTCCTTGGCCTTCTAACACAGTAGAAGAAGGCTGGTACTTTGGAGATGTTGACATAATTTGGAAATTCTACCACCAATTCCACCAGGTTGTCATACATACAGCAATTTTGGCATTGTGTCTTTGAAAGACAGATTGTATGCAATGAATAAAATGCTATCATGGTGTTGGTGTATACCACACGGACACCAACAACCCAAAGTGTTCATTTTGCCTAAATGGAGAAATGCTATCTTCATATAATTTGATTCAACATTTGTTAAACATCTGTTGGATACAATGAAATCTGCTTCTTATTTTGAGGGCTATAGAGGTGTGCAAGGTATGGTTCTTGTCCTCTAGGAATTTACAATCAAAGAAAGTAGATACATTCTATTTTAGGGGAGCTGCCACACATTATAAAGGAGGCAAGGCTGGAATTTTGAAGAGAATTTGAGACAAGGGAGTACCTTCCAGACTGGCAAACAATACATGAAGGTACAGAGAAGGGTAGCTTTAGGGTATGATTAGGAAATGATGAATCATTTGGTTTGAATGCATGTAGGATTCATAAGCAAGTGGTGGAAAATATGTATTAGGACCAGATGATAAAGGACCTGGGGAGTTTGATCTGTATATGTAAAGCAGAGTCAGTGAAAATAATCAGAACAAAGATATGTCTCAAGATTCCAGTTTCTGTGAAGTGAAGGTGGTGTGGTAGTTTTAAAGATATGTCTATGTCTATAAATTCCTTGATATGAATTTTGCCTGTGGGAGGAAGATAAACAATTTATGGCCAGAGGACAACTTGTGATGGCTTTAACGATACACCTACAAATTTTTCAATACTTCTCTCAAGAGATGGAACTTAATTCCCTCCCCTGGACTGTGGGCTGTACTTAGTGACTCTCTTCTAACCAATAAAATATGGCAGAAGTGATGGCTGTCACTTCTAATTTTAGGTTATAAAAAGACTGCAACTTTCTTTCTGGGGAGAGTGCTCACTCTCTCCAATTGCTCTCTGTGGGAGAAGCCAGCTTCCATGTGCTAAGCAGCCCAGCAAAGAGGGCCTTGTGGTGAAAACCTGAGGCCTACTAAAAATCCTGTGAGTGAACTTGGAAGCAGATCGTTCCCCAGTCAAGCCTCAGATGACTGCAGCCCTGGATAACACCTTGATTGCAACCTCATGAGAGCTCTCCTGATCCAGAACCACCCAACAAAGCTGACTCTGGGCTTCTGACTTATAGCAACTGGGAGTTTTAAGCTAAGTTTTGGAGTAATTTGTTAGAGAGATGAGAGACTGGAGAAGGCAAAGTAAGTTAGGAGAGTTGGCATTATGCAAGGCAGGAGACAATGAAAATGTAAATCAGAACAGTAATGAGTAGAGAAGGGATCTATGCCCAGGGCCTGATAGAAATTTAATTCACAGGATTTATGGGCTGATCAAACTGAGAGGGGAGGCTAGTACTGAGAGAGAAAGATGTGACAATGTGCTTTTCACATCCAGTTGACATGACCAAGAAGACGGCAATGTCATCAATGAAAAATGGACTACAGATAAGGAAGCACATGAAGAGGGTAATGGTGAGTTGACTGTGTGTTGCCATGTCCCTGTGTGCTTGGGTTTTAAGCATGCTGGCTCTGATAAACTAGCTGACATCCACATAGAGATATCCAAAAAGCTATTGCAAAATCATGCCCGGCATGCCGAGGGCACAGCTGATAGACTAGAGATGGAGATTCAAAGTCATTAACAGAAATGGGGCAAAACGATCCATACTTTGAGTAGCAAGGCTCTAAAGTATCTTCCAGGCTTTCAATTCTGTCATTGCCTGAAACTAATGGAAGGTTGTTCGATATAATAAAAGTTCAGGAGGTCCAGTGGAAGGGGATTTGAAAGGCAAAAGTCTGCAATGAGTAGAATGCAAGTACAGAAGAAAATTCTTTGTCACTGGGGTCATTAGGGCTAGAAAAATCCTTCCTGCATATACATCAACAGGGTTTTCTTTTTCTAATTTGATTGTTTGTGATATAGGGAATGAGGAAAATAAGAAAAGGAATGCTTCGGGACATTTAGTCCCACTACTAACAAGGTAGTATAAATAAATGATTAAACAATAACGTAATCAAGAAGCCAGAACTCTGAGAGGAAATAAATATGCATGACCTTCCCGTGACATCGTATATCCTGAACAGCTTCCTATAGAAGTTAGTTCTACTTGCATGAAAATACACATTTGTATATTAAATAGGATACATCTAGACAGCCAATTTATCCACTTAAATAAAATAACAACCTGTGACGCTTTAAGCCAATATTTGAAGACACATCAAAAACTCAAAGTTAATATAGAGGACTCCAAGGAAAGAATTAAAAGCCTCAGGGAAAATCATGCTGCCGAAACTAGAGCGATAATGAGCTGAAAATTTGTATTTCGTTCTTGCATTTGTTAATGCATTCGGGCAGAAATGTGGCTTAGAATAAATTTCTTTCAGTATTTCTAAAAGCCACATGTCTTTCTTTCTCAGCCTCTGCCTACTGCAAAATCACAAGCCACTCTAAAGTACGAACAAGGTAGTGGCATCTTAGGTCAAATAGCCCTACAAGTTCGCCATCTTGGCACAAGGATCTTTATTCCACTGCTTGCTCTGCAGTCAGAAGTGATCACGTCCATCCTGGAAATCTGGTGCATCTGACCATTTCTGCTTCAACAGCTGAGTCCCTCAGCACACCATGCCAGATTCAGGGAGCTGGATAATTATGGATATTCCCCACACTAAAAGCTACACTTTATTGGACATTTTTCATAGGAAACAGGTGTGGATCTCAGCTAACAAACTTAACTGTGCAAGAAAGGCCACGTTTCTTTATTGTCTTGAGGTCAACTTAAATGGGACTGTGAGCCCTAGCTCCTCCTGGCTGGCAGAAAATCCAGCCTTAATCATTTGAGCCCACCTCTGCTCCCTTCCCCCTGGGTTGTAAAATGTCCCAACTCCGAATCAGTCATCAATCATTAGCCCAAAGCAGTTATAGCTGAAAAGTTCAGTGACCCATGAGTTATAATTACTTCTGCCTCCTGGGATGCACACATTCATCAGTGAATAATAAGGGCTGGAGAAAATTCCCTTTGACCCTAGAAGCTGCCTCAATGGCAGCACCATAATCTTGTTCTAACTCAGATGTTACATCTCACCCCTTTGCCTGCCCCAACTCCACACTTCCACCTAGCAAAGTACTCAGATTCCTAAGCCTTTGTTGCCATAGGAACAAGACAACTTTTGCCTAGGACCATGGCAGATGAGGAAAAACTGACTAAATAGAAAGGACAGAGTTAAGGAAACAGCCAGACCTATACAAGGGCCAGAAGTTCACAGTCAAGGTGTAGGTAGGTGTCTTGAGCTAAACAAGCAATTGAATGGTAGGTGCTAGAAGACTGGAAAGAATCCAGTGGATTGAGTGGTTAAAAAAGACACTTGGTCACTTTGATAAAAGCCATTTCAGAGGAGTAATAGGAAGGGAAATCTGATTGAAAGAGGCTTAAGAGTCTTTAAGAAGTGCAAAATGGATACAGCAAGTTTAGTCTGTCCTTTTGAAAATGTGAGAGCTAAAGGTGATTTGGGGGGTCTTCCAAGGCTTGTCATAGTCTTTTGTCAAAAGATAACAGCAATTTGAGCATCTTTAAAAAGCTATAGAGAAGGAGCTAGGTTGAACATATAAGACAAAGAGATTATCAGAAGAAGCCGTATCTTTATTCTAGTGGAGATGGGAGGGAAGAGACTCAAAGGCACAGAGAAAAGTGTTTGTTTACAAAAGGAGAAGAGAAAAGGATGCCCTCTATGAATACAAGGAAAGAAGCAAGGGTAGGGGCTGACTTAGGTAGGGTCACGAGGTGGAGAAGTTGTGGAAGTTCACAACTCAGAGCCCCATTTTTCCCTGTGTAGCATGAGACAAGGTCACCTGTTGACTGATGGGGTGAACAATGGGTTTGAGGCATGACGCAAAGATTTTAGTTTTATTTATGTGTTTGTTTTTCACATAAGTATACAGGACCTCACGATATCTACTTATTAATTCTAATAATTTGAGAATTCTTTTGGATTTTCTAGATTCATACAATCATAGACCCTACAAGTGATGAGTTTTGTTTTTTCCTTTATAAAAGCTGGGCCTCATTTCTTTTACTTGCCTTATGGCATTGGGTACAGCTGGGCTTATATTAATTCTTTGGCCAGGGATTTCCACACATGTGGAGACTATAAATTCGGGCTCCACACCCAAATGCAGGTTTGAAGTTTCAGTTTCACACAAACCATTTATTTTTCCTCACTCCAAACCGCAACTGGAATAAGATTGCTTCTCTCCTCCCAGAGAAAGACAAATATCATATATCACTTACATGTGGAATCTGAAAAAATGAACTTATTTACAAAACAGAAACAGACTCGCAGACATAGAAAACAAACTTATGGTTACTAAAGGGGAAAAGTGGGGAGGGATAAATTAGGAGTTTGGGATTAACAGATACACACTACTAAATATAAAACAGATAAACAACAAGGACTTACTATATAGCACAGAGAACTATATTCAATATCTTGTAATAACCTATAATGGAAAAGAATATGAAAAAGAATATATTGTATATAAATATAAAAACTGAATCACTTTGCTATAAACCTGAAACTAACACAACATTGTAAATCAAATATACATCAATTAAAAAAAAAAGATTGCTTCTCTTCTAGACTCATGGGTAGAATGTTCTAGTTACCCTTCCACACAGGGAAAGCCTTTCCTGGGAGGCAGCTTTAGTCTAGGATTCCAATTCCCACTTCCCATCTCCATACAGACCCAAGGACACCTCTCTGTGTATGAATGAACTAGCCCCTGTGGTCCTCCTGTGGTCCTAGACTAGGGTTGGCTACATTTCTTGTAATGGCAACAAGGACTTAAGAATCTAGTATTTTTCTAGGTTGTGAATGTTAAACTTCAGCCCGTGTATCTGGGGTTTACATCCAGTCCTTTGGGACACCACAACATCACTATGAATGTTATTTGTACCTTCTTTCTTTCTTGTACCTGATGACTTCCCCTTCTTATTTCCAGTTCAGCTCTGAAATAATACCTTTTGAACCAACACTGTAATGAGGTGGGGTGGGTATTGAGGCCTTGCTGCCAGTACTTTCGTGGTCCCTTCATGACACAAATCTGCAGAATTAGACGGTTTTCTTCAGGAGCCATCGATAACCTAGGTGGAAAGACAGAGAGTCTGAGCTTCGTAGGGCAGACAAGATAGAAAGACAGGGGGAGAGGGACTGAGGATGGGGGTAGGAGGATGTTGAGGTGATGTACTATGAAGTCTACACTGGAGAGGGAAGGAAGCGTGTCCAGGAAGGAGCTAAAAGTCCAGGAGAAAGGGGGGAGGGTAAAAAGATTGGGCCAACGAGGTAGCAAAGCAGATGTTCTAGGAAAAAGAGGTATAAAAACAGGCAAGTCAGGGGACTGTGGTCAGAGGAGGGACAAGGGAAGAAGAAGATTGATTCCAAGGGTGTCACAACCATGGGAACAGATTATTGAAGCGGAAAATAGGTGAAGCTTGCTGGACTTTGATCCTGGCAGGTGATGCTTCAGATTCCCCCACCCACCATCTTGTCTTCCAAACTCTTGGGTCAACCATTCCCAACCCTCACCATCATCCCTGCAAATCTGATTTAAGCCAGTGGTTACCAAAGTGTGGTCCAGGAGCCTCTGAAAGCAGTATTGCCTAGAAGTTAGGAATGTGTGCCTGGGAATCAGGCTGCCTGAGACCACATCCTTCCCTAACATGTGTACCTTGGACAAGTTTTTTAGCAGTTCTGAACCTCAGTTTTCTCATTTCTAAAATATTAGCAATGTCTACCTCACAGGGTGGCTATGAGGAGTCAATGACACAATACGTGTAAAATACTGTTCCTGAGCCTGGCACATAAGAAATGCTCAGAAAAAGTCAACTACTACTCTTAGAGATGAGCAAAGCAGAGGAAAGCACTGCTGTAGAAATGCCATCATTTCTGTGGTTCTTAAAAAAGGGTGACTGCAAAGACTTCATTCTTTCATTTAAATGAAAGGCTATTGGTCTACTGGTGACTTTAATACAGTGACTAAAACCTGGTGTTCATACCCTGAAGTTCACCCTTTACCTGAGTTTTGTGGGGACTTGAAATCTCTCCTGTACAGGCCTTGTCCCTGCCCCCGGGAACACAGCAAATCCCTCCCACACAGCTGTACATGCTGATGGCATTCCCCCAATTTTAAGGAAGGAAAAAAATGCACTTTGTTTTAGGGCCTCATCAGAGGTTCTCACAGTTGGTGAGATTTTTTTTTTTTTATTGTTGTTGTTCTTGCTTCTGAGTTAGAAATTACTATTTAGTTTCATCAATTTCAACTGAATTTGGGAAGGGCTGTTTGGCTAACTCTGCAGTGGGTGGCAAAACATTTTGCAGCCACGGTATTGGGGGCCCCTAATGTTTCAATATATGGACATTTAAATGCATATCCATTGAATTTTATGATTCTATACTACCATCCTAGTATCTCTGCAAATAGCAAAAGGAAAGTGGTATTTGACAAAGCTGGTGTGTTTGAGACATATTAATCTTCCCCATCGATACAGAAGAACGTGATGGCACGTGGTGATTTTGTACATCAAATATTTTGCAGAATTTTAACTTGGGAATCCTGTGCTAAATAAATCAGAAAAGCCCAAGCAGGTTAAGAGAGCACGCATACTAGGTGTACAAGGTCACTTTGATTCTAACTGAAGTACAAAGACCACAAACATCCATAATTACCTAGTGGCTGAGCTGGGCCTAGAGGTCAAGGGTTGTGGCTCTCAGTCTAAAACCTTTTGTGTGTCCTATATTGTGGCATGAATCTTGGAGCTGTGATGTCTTGGCAACGGAAATAATTGCTTAGCTGGTAGAGACCTCAAGGAGCAGATAATTCCACGTTAAAAAAAAAAAGTGACTTGGAGAGCTCAAACCAAATCCATTCTACCATATCAATCAGCTGATTTCACAGCTGATTTTCACACGATAAGAAGCACTACTTTGTCTTGCCTGTCTGAAATCAGGAACTCTTTTACGGCAGCACATTTTGTTCAGAGCAAAATATTTTTTTACTGAGCACTCGTGGACTCATCATCTCATTTTCCAAAGGGCTATCTCTCAAAACATCATCAGCTGAAAGAAATTTATCTCTTTACATAAATTAATTTCACAGACAATTTTTCATGAGCACCTCCTTTAAAGGCTAACACTAATATAGACTCATGCCGGCAACTACACTTTCTCTTGGTTAGCAGGCAGTTTTGCTCTCTGGGAGGGAATTTTCATCTGCTGGACAAGCAAAGGGTCTTGGGGGTGAGGAGGTATATCAAATAGTCAACACAGAAAAGAAATGAAAAGAATCAAAGAAACCAATGTCAACTAAGTCAAGGACACGAGTACTATGAGACACACTGGGCTGCGATGCCATCTGCTGCACATTTTTTAGCTCTATCCCTGCGATTAACTCTCTATATTAGCCCCTGACCTCTACTCAATCCCCTTGCCCTCCTACTTACCAATTTCTTTGCTCATTGTTCTAGTTGGTATCTCCTCACAGAAGGCAGGAGTCCCACCAAACAACCAATTTTACTAGGAAAATCACAAAACCAGGTTGTTAAATTCAGAGTTGCTCCCATGTCAACTGGTAAACAGCTGCTGCCCAAAGCTCCTTGAGTCCTCCCTCCCACACTGACAGGACCACCAAGTGGGCGCTGCCTGGGCACTTGTTGCCCACCAGCCTTCCAGCTAGCACACAACTCCTACACACCAGCACCCATCTTTATGAGTCTTCCCAGCCAGAGAAGGCGCAGTCCTCAGCTGGGAAGATGGCATTCCAGTCAGCAGTGCTGGCCGGCAGTGGACAACTGCCCACTGCCTAGCTAGTCCCTGAGGCTGTGGTCCAGCCTTACAGGTTCATACTCCCCATGTTGAACCATCACATTCATCTAGTCCAACTATAACTTCAGTTCTTCTGGCTGTTTTCACTCAACATATAATATACTAAACTAGTGTAGCTTCTTGACATTCAACTATTAGTGTAATTACCTTTAAAAAAATAACACAAACTTGATTGCTGAACAGTTTTTATACAGTACACTCCCAAAGTATTGTTTCTCCTAGATGATAATTTTCAGTGACTTTGATTTTGTTCATCTACAATCAATAGGCAAAACAGTATTTTTCTTGGTTGCAATCATTGCCCAGACATTTATTAAGTTCCAGGCATTGTATTCAGACACATGGTACAGGTAGGCCTTGGAGAGATTACAGGTTCAGTTCCAGATCACTGCAATAAAATGAATATTGCAAAAAAGTGAGTCATACAAATATCTTGGTTCCCCAGAGCTCAGACTATCCTGTAGCCTATTAAGTGTGCAATAGCATTATGTCTAAAAAACAATGTACATACCTTAATTAAAAATACTCTATTGCCATGGATGGACCTAGAGATGATCATACTTATTTACAAAACAGGAACAGACTCACAGACATAGAAAACAAACTTATGGTTACCAAAAGGGAAAGGAGGGGGAGGGAGAGATAAACTAGGAGTTTGGGATGAACAGATACACATTACCATATATAAAATAAACAAGGACCTACTGTATAGCACAGAGAACTGTATTCAATATTTCGTAATAACATAGAATGGAAAAGAATATGAAAAAGAATATATATATACACACACACATTTCTATAACTGAATCACTTTGCTGAAGAACTGAAACTAACACAACAGTGTAAATCAACTATACTTAAATAAAAAAAAATCTGTTACTGAAAAATGCCAACTATCATCTGAGCCTCCAGTGAGTCATAGTAGTAACATCAAAGATCACTGGTCACAGATCACCATAACAAATAAAAGACTGATTTAAAAGTTTGAAATATTGTGAGAATTATCAAAATGGGACACAGAGACATGAAGTGAGGAAATGCTGTTGGAAAAATGGCACTGACAGATTTGCTCAACACAGGGTTGCCACAAACCTATTTGAAAAGAAAACGCAGTATCTCTGTAGTGAAATAAAGCAACGTGCAATAAAATGAGGCATGCCTGCATAGGGATCAAGAAAGCTAAATAACCTCTGACCCCAGGAACATAGATAGGTAATAACAAGCAGAAATATTGATAACCAAAAAAAAAAAAAAACCTTGTATGCATTGAGCTACAAACTATTTTGCTGCAATATTATTCCCATCCACACATATAAATTGTGTGGAGTTTGGGGAGCATTTTTACTGCCTTTGCATAAGATTTGAAGGGCCATGGTTTCCAAGCTTTATACTCAAAGACAAGAGTGACAAACTCAAATGATGTTCAAACACTTGGGATTCTTTTTCCTTCTCTAAAAATATCAATAGTATTTTTTAATAACTACCATCTGTTGGGTAAATGTTAGGTGACAGGTATAATGCTAAAGGCATGTTGCCTCATTTAATCATCACATAAGCCATGCTGAGATGTTATTCCCTTTACTCAGTGAGGAAAGGGAATAAGAAAGGTGAAGTAACTTGTCCAATCACTGTCTGGCCTCAGGTTCATCTGACTCTTAACTATTCTGCTATGTTGGTTTGGGTCTTGCTCCTATTCAGACATCTGACACTAATGCCAAAAGGAACAGATGCTCTGAACAAAGATTGAAATTTGACCTTGATTAGGGTACCAGAAAAAAAGACTCAGTCTTGTTCTCAAAATGAAGATTTTCTTGCAAATAAAAGCTCTCATTCACTGGACAAATAGTCACTGAATACCTATTGTGTGCCTGCCTTTCTTCTGGGAGCTGATTATTAAAGTAAAATTGACATGGATGCTAACTCACTGGGTAACTTACCACTATACTAAGGACGATGAAAAAGAAGAAACAAGTAATTTAAACTATTCTCCTTAAGGAGAGCAGGGAACTCAGCTTGAATCTAAATTTTGTTCAGCACAGAAATCAGGTATATTTAGGGATTTGGGAAGGAGAATACAGGATCCCTGAGCATTTGTGGAAATGTGCCATTTAAAGAAACTCATTCTAAGGGAAGAGAATCATTAAGAACAATTTGGGCACCAGGACAATGGACAAGGTCAAAGAAGAAGGTTGGTCTTCTGATGGCATAGACTGATGATGCAATCACAAAACCAGGGGCCGGAAGCAAAGGAGCAAGCAAAACCCAGCAGAGCTAGACCACCAAGGTGTCAACTGTGGCAGTTCCACTCATGGACACCAGCACCCACTGCTCTTGGCTCTTGTGACCAAGGGAGACTGTGCCCTCCAGGCAGACATCAGTGCCCTTGGCATGGGACTTGGGCAAAACATTGGCTTTGGCCTCCTGTTTGGAAACCACCAACAGCGAGTGAGCCAGCTGCTATCGTGGTCATTAACAGCGTAAGGAGACTGTCCCACAGAGGTCTGGAGCAGGAGAGAGGACAAACACAGGTACCACGCGGCAGCCAAGGGAGTTTATTCCTGGAGCCTTCATGAGATACCTCCCTGAGACTGCCAAGACCATCTGGAAGGAATTAGAAGGACCAGAGTTCCAACAGAGTGCTGGACATGGAGGCTGGGCATGGCAGTTTAAGTATGTGCTCATTTTCTGCCAATCTGTATTAAGCGGATTTGTAATATTGCGGTGTTAGAAGATTAATGAAGTCTCGCTTTATCGGTGAAATGTGAAATAACTCATCCATAATTTTTAAAATTCAAGAACCTCATAATTCCAAAGCTGCATGACCAAGTGATTTTCATGCGGAGTTTATCCTATTGTCACATGGCACAGCCACTTTTGCTATTAAACAGAAATAAATGTTCCGATTAGAATATGTATTCATCTGAATTACACAGGTTTTGAATTACACAAGGTGCATGCGCTTTGTCACTGTTGCTTTGACCTATTCAAGCTCCAGGCTGGTGTGGCTGGGACACTTGGGTTGTATAAACAGCAAAGACAAAGAGGTTGATGAATCAGATATTCCTTTCAATCAATGAAACAATGCCTTTTCCTTTCATTCCAATAAATTAATATCTACTTTCTTACAACATGGCATTTTCTCAGAAGACTCCTTAAAATGAATTAAGTAGGAGTTGCATTTTGAAGCCAGCTCCTGCAGAGACTTATTCCCTAAGTAACCATTATACTTACGCACGGCTGTTAATACATTTATTTGTCAATTCATCGGTGATTACACCCATCTATTCTTCATCTCTCTGTGGGATGAATTCTGTCCGCCCACTCAGAGGTCACCCCTGGCCATAAGTAGTTCATGAGCCTTTTGTAAAGACAGTCTTCTGAACTCAAGAGATTGCGTGTGCTATAAGGGATTTTTGGTTTTGCTTTTTTACGGCAAAGATAAATGCAGTAATTGAGATAAGCAGGCTCTTAGAGCCAGTTCTGTTTGTGTTTTTTTTTTCTTCAGGCTTTGGAATTATGTTAGTAATCACAGAATATGAAGAGTTAGACTGGTTCTGCCCAGTGTGGAAGCCATTGACTACATCTGGCTATTGAACACTCCATGGTGGCTAGTCTGCGTTAAGATATGCTTTAAATGTAGAACATTCACTGGAATTCAAAGACTGAATATGAAAAATATGTAAAAAAGTCTCCTTAATAATACGTTAGGTTCATCAAACATTGAAATAAGAATTGTCTAGATACATGGGTTAAATAAAATATAGTACTAAAATTGATTTCACCTGTTTCTTTTCACTTTTTTAATGAGACTAATAGAAAATTTTAAAATATATATGTAGCTCATATTATATTTTGACAGTGCCGGGTTACATGCTGCCATTACTCCTCCATCACCACTTTCTTTCCCCATTTTTATATGGAGGGCATGCTGGCACTGGGGGATTTCTCTCTTTTATATCAGTGGAGGTCCAGATATCTCCAGAATATTCCTGAATATTTTCAGGGTGTGTGTCTCCATCCTTGCTGTCACTCTGAACTGCCATCATGCTTCTGTACCCTCAGAACAGAGCATCTTTTCCCATCTTCACCATCCCTAGTTATAGTCCCCTAAGAACTCATGTTTCTAGACTCACAAAAAAATTCTTTCACACACCTCTAAAAAATTTTTTTTCATGGACACACACTTTTCTTTAATGAGACTTCAAGGAGGAATTTAGTTCCCCATTATCTCGATCTCTCTCACCAGATTCAGCTCTGGGTCTTTACTGGTGTAACCAAAAAGCCTCTCAAAATGTTTTCCCGAACACGAGTAATCTTTCTCCAAGATATATTCTGCACCCTGCCCCTACGGAATGTGAAAAAGCCACTTTAGCCAATGCTAAACCAGTTCCCACCATTCCTTGTTTCTCCCACTACACGGGCTTGATAACACTGCACTGGGCAGGGTCTGAAGGTGGCAAGACGTCTTGTAAGAGTTGTCTGTTTACCATGTTGCTTTACTGGGTTTGCTCATTCAAGCCTTCTTGCTTATTTACATGCATTCAGTCCCCACTCTGGAATATCCGTGTATTTTTGAATAGCTGTTTGTGAATCATTAGCTTTGATCAAACACCTGTGCATTTCACCCTTTCTGTGGGCCAGGCATTGTACTGGGTCAGAGGGATGCTGGGGACCTCGAGACAGGATTCGCCTCTGCCTCACGCTCTGGGCACTTCTGCCCACTGAGCTTTCACTGAGCCTCGCAGAGCCTGGATATGCCTGGGTTGGGGTGGCTGTAGGGGGAGAAACCCAGAGCCCCCTTGGCTGGTACCTAAGCAGAGGGAGGGAGGCGTCTCCAGGCAGGTGGGTCAGTGATGGGGATGGTGGAGCCCCCCACTGCCCTATGTTTATAAGGAGAAGAGGACCAGGACGGCGCTGGGCTCTGATGATGACTTTCTAAAAATTCAGTAATACATTTTAATGCAAATATTTTTCACTAATTTACACATGGCTGTTTTCGGATCTGAAGCGGGAGACAGACAAGATGTCATGTTAACTCAGAAAATAAGGATGTTTTCAAAGATTAACAGATGGGATCCCCAGGACACAGAAGTTAGCTTCTACTGTCCCAGGTCATAAAAATTTGAAAATTAAAAATAAGAGAGTCTGGTTCCACTCATTATGGAGTAAGGACACTCCACTCCATCTCTCCCTCTGATTATAACACCAATGAAGCAGCATCAGGAAATCTCCAAATTTCTAAACAGGAATGCTTTTTTTAGGAGTCCAGAATCAAATCAAGCCAAAACAATACCGACAGATAGAGAACACCATCAAGCCCTATAGCAGTGGGCTTAGAGGACCAACATAAATTGTGGGGATATCAGGGGTAGATAAAAACTGAGTTCTAAGAAGGCTCTTGGGAAATTAAAAACAAGAAAAAAAAGGAAAGAGTCTTCAGGCCGAAAACAAGGATCAATCATGGAAAATGTCAAAGAAAACAAAATGACTCATGAATTTCAGACAGGCACAAAATGAATGTTTAACAATTATATAGGAGATAAAATAGAATTAAGCAGTCACTAGATAAGATGCTGAAAACAGAACCCCTAGTCAGCTAAAGCAGCCTTGACTACTTCTTTAAAATTTTTCAAGACAAAATTTCAAGGAACCAACAACTGCACATTTCAGGCTACTTTCATAGTCATAAATCAAGTCAGAGAAAATTCCAAAAGCCATTTAAACCAAATATCTGTTCCAGGAAGGAGCAACACTTAACTAACTCAAAAGGAAATTTTAAAGGCATTTTGGAGGAACTCCTACCACCTCCTTGGTTCCCCTTTCTGATGCTCAATCTATCTCAGAGATGCCAGCTGTGGGCCTCTGGCACCTTGGGGGCCAGAGAGAAACGGGCACAGACCACAGGCCATTATCATGGCCTGGGCAGTCCTAGATTCTCCCCGTGACTTCTGCTGACTCCCGGAGTTGCGCTCCTGGGGTCAGGCAGTGATGTTCTGCTGTAACATCTCTGAGACGTGCCGAGTCCCCCGCTGCTCCACCCCCTGCCCAGATGTGAAGATTAGTTCCTTCACCCCTTCCCACAAGTACTCTTCTCATCCTGAGCATTTTCTGAGTTTTAGTAGAACACTTTCAAGCTTGAAGAGTCTGCAGGGAAAGGTCAGATACGAGAGTGCAAGGACCTCTCCCATCTCCCCACTCTCTTCCTTTCTCTCCCTTGCACCCGTCTGATTGTCTTCTCTTCATCCTAAATGGATGATATCCCCACTTTCCAGTTGCAATTTTTAATTTATTTGTGTAGAATAACCCCCACCCCACCCCTGCTCAGGCTCTCTCTCTCTCTCTCTCTTTCTCCCACCCTCCCAGTAATCAAGAAGTCTCAGTGACCACCACAAGCAGTCAGGACTTCCAAACAACTATAGTACTCTTGTTAAGAAGAATTTGGATGCCTAAAATTATCTCTATTTCAGTCCACCCATCGAAGCAGGATCATTTCTGAATTTAAAGCAAATGTCTCTGACTATTACTCTCAATCCTTCACTAAAGTTCTTGAGGAGTCAGTTACGTTAAGCACTGCCTGGTTTCTACATGTTAGAGTCTAGTTTCTACCACAGATAAGTTTCAGGTCTTCTTCAGTTTTCTATTACTTTTCTTGCCTACACCTCAGGTGAGGTTCCCCCAGAAGCAGGCACTGAGTCAGGGATTTGAACGAAAGTAGCTAATTTTGAAACTGAGCAGGACCCTGCAGGACACATTCCTGAATTATTTTACAGGTACTATAACTGCCACCATGTAAGCAGCCCTTTGCAGGAAACCCCTTTTCTTGTCCCTTTAGCAAAGCTATATTGTCACTAACCTTAAACCAGGCACCCCCATGCCCTACTCATCTCCAGCCCAAGCACACCTTTCAAATCTTTTGATCACACAATACCTTGCCTAACCTGTTGGGCTTTTTCCAAAGATCAAAGAAGTAGAAATGGATAGTAAGTAGTAAGTGAACAGATCTCTTCCCCAATTTCCCCTTCAGTAATCTTGCTAACAAACTGTGTAAACAAGATAGCATCTAAGGAAAATTCACAAGGAACTGACAAGCCTGGGGGAGAGGGGTGGGTGCAACAACTCTGACCCCCTTATCTCAGTGATCAACTGGGATTATTTCCCTACTTTAAAAACTTTTCTGGCTTAGCAGAAGCTTCAGAGATTGTCTTCAGGGACACTGAGCCCACCATCCCCCCAGATTGCCAGCATTCTGATTAAAAGCAACTTTCCTTTCTATCAACATTGCCTCTCTGTTATAATATATATACATATATATATAGCATTGATTGGGGTAGGGTGGGGGATGCACTAACTTCATCTGTTCTGATGAATAACCTACACTTGTTCAGCCTCGACTGTTCTGCCCTAGCCCTGGTGGGCTCCTAGGTAACATCCAACTGGCGTAAGTCAACTTACTTGCACCCCAATCATCCAGCAGGGTTGACTTGGTTTCTTTCACTCTCTGGGAAAATTTTCAGAAGGATCCTTATAACCTAGTGAACATAATAAGCAAAGAAGGCAGAGAATAACCATGTTAGTGAAATGCAAGTGATATTTATCACTACTTGCTGAACTGGTGGCTGATGTTTAATTCCAATGATTTTTTTAAATTTTATTATTTATTTGATTGAAGTATAGTCAGTTTACAATGTTCTGTCAATTTCTGGTGTACAGCTTAATGTTTCAGTCATGCATATACATACATATATTCGTTTTCATATTCTTTTTCATTTTAGGCTATTACAAGATATTGGATATAGTTCCCTGTGCTGTACAGTAGAAACTTGTTTATCTACTTTATGTATAGTAGTTAGTATCTGCAAATTTCCAACTCCCAATTTATCCCTTCCCACCCTCTCTCCCCTCTGGTAACCATAAGTTTGTTTTCTATGTCTATGAGTCTGTTTCTGTTTTAATTCCAATGATTATTCCCATCATTCTGACAGCTTACTTATCCCAAACTTTATCACTTTCAATCTGGGCTTACAAACAGATTCCCATTGGTCAAGAAATGTAAAGAAAAAAAATCCATGAGCAGGAAAGGAAATGTCTGTAAAAGTGATACTGGGTCCAGTTACCTTGGCTTTGGGCAAAGTGAGAGCTTCGAGGAATCTGGTATGATTTTTTTTTTTTTGGTCATAAAGTCTCTGTCTCAAAACGTGATTTACTCTTAATTTGAGTGTATGAATATTAGATTATGAAATGATGATTTTTTCCAGTTAAAATTAACTAAGTGTACAAATATCTTTTTCAACTGGAGTCTGAAGTGGTGATATTTGTCTTTTTTGCTCTGCCATCTCCCATTCCTTTGGCAATCCCCTTTAACATTCCCAACCAGTGTCCCAGTAGTTCAGTAAAAAGCAATGTTATATACTGGAATGGGGATGCCTTGGAGCTATTAGTGAAGCACCTTTGTGGCCCCATCCAGGTCCTACCCTCATGTTCCTAATTTATATTTCCCTTTCATCTCACTTCTCAAAATTCTTACTCCAGCTAGATCTCATGTATATAATGAACTAATTCATATTAAGGCATAAGTAGCTTCAAAATAGCTTAATGCTTTACAATTCCCCCAAGATACTCGACATTTTAAAAAGCAATGTGTTATTTATTAATGGTGGAATCTTAGGTGGTATATTGGAAAAGCTGTGGGAATATTTTTTTTGCAGGAAGGCCCTTAGTGGCATCTTTCAAATCCCTCCATTTGGGTGAATAACTTTTCCATCTTGGGACATCAATCTTAGAGGGGTCCCAATAGAACACCATGACACAACTGAATGAACTGTCTATGTGAATAAGGGATGGGGTAGAATGTAAGTCAACCTCTCTGCAGGATGATCCCTTTTGAGTGTATGGAGTTGGATTTGTTTATCCCATAGTGGTCCCACAGGAAAAACAGAGAAGGGAAATCCTGAAAAGTCACTGAATACTAATCGTGCATGCAGCTGAGTCTCCAACAGAAAATAAGAGTTTGTGGAGCAGAATTCAACCTCAGAAAAGTAATTCCCCAGAGACTATCCAATCCATCATATGCCATCTTAGGCACAGACTGTTGACTGTCCCCTAATACCCACTTTGTTTCTCTTACAACTCCTGATTTTCAGCTGAGCACATGGTCACCAGGTAAAGACTACATTTCCCAGCCTCATGCTCAGTGAGGCTGGCCATGTGATGAAATTCTAGTCAATGAGCTATAAATGTAATCTCATCATATGACCTAACTGAGGACCTTTCTTAAAAGCAAGACCTCACCTTTTCTTCCCCACCATCCCCACCCCATCAACCCTTCCCTCATCCTTCTGCTTAACATATTCATGGGATGGCTCTAGCTTCATCTTGGACTATTAGGATTAGGGCCATACCCCAGGGAGGACCGAGGGGAGAGCTGGAAGTATCCTGGGCCTCTGTGGAGCAAAACTTTCATACGAGCTCTAGAAGATCCAACTCTAGACTTCAAAGTGAGAAACACAAAAGCTTCTACCAGGAGTTTCTGTTCCAGTCAAACTAATCCCACCTGATACACCACCCTTTTTTTGTTTGTTTGCTTTTAATTTAACTCAACTTCTCATAGGTAAGAAGAACCTATGCATCATGCAGGCACATTCCAAGGTTGGAGAGTTAATGCTATCACATACGTCAATACCCAGTATTATCCAGATGGGTTTTCAACATCCTTCTCTCTTGTTATTTCATTAAGATCCTTGATGCCTAGATAATTGGAGCACCAGCAGAAAGTGAAAAGAATCTAGCCAGCATAATAACTAGTTAGTTAAAAAATAATAATAAAGGATAATCAGATAGATGAGTTTAATTCTGGCTTTATCTGCAGATTGTTAAGCAGGACTCTTCTGAAAGCTGGGGGAAATGAGAGGCCCACAAGGTACTGGAAATATCTGTAATCCCCTGTACCCTATGAATGAACAAGGGAATGAGCAACTGAATGAATCCCAGAAAGTTTAATGAACCTTGTATTCCAATATAAAGTAGATATTTTAAGGCTGAAATAAGACCCAAAGGTTTTTTTATGAAGCAACTAACATGGTCATGTATGTTTTAGGAAAGAAAGAAGACCCCAAAATGACTATTTCTGAGATTGCATTTTGTGGAAATCACCTTATAACAGTGGCAGGCAGGCATAGTTCCACAATCCAAAGGCTGATCATCCTATACCAGATCTTTCTAGACATAGTTATATTCTGGAAGGTCAAGATATGACTTCAGATAATGACAAATGTGAGGGAATGATGTTCATTTGAAGGAAATATCATTTTAGTATGAAAGTCCAACTTAGAAAAAAATAGCCCAGACTTAACCAGCAGAACACTGTTCCTTCATAACAGATGAGCTAAAATACATGTCTACTACTTTGTAATCTCCAAAATTGGCTGTGATTTGACTTCACACATTGTTAAAAAAAAAAATCCTCCCAGTCCCTTGGTAATTTCCCCAAAACAGAGTTCTCATCAGTGGCTTCACATGAGGATTTACTTGGGAGCTTAAAAAAGATCCAGGCCCAGGCCCAATCCCAGACCAACTGAGTAAGAATTTGTTGAGGGCTGGGCTGAGGCACTAGCATTTTCCATATCACCCGAGGTGATTCTAATATATATCCTGGGTTGAGATCCACTGCCACAAAAGAGCCCTACTCCACTTGTGTGGCTAGACCAACTAACATCTTGCTTGAATTACCATATACTGAAAATTAACCCTGTCATCTCTTCCCCTAAACATACCATATTTAGATTTTCCCCTTGCATTCTCATGCCTGCTTCACTTCAGCTAAAGAAAAATATTTTCCCAAAATAGTTCCCTTTCACAGTTTTGCAGTTTCTGGTTTGGGCACTGTCTTTGCTAAATAAAACTGGATTTGTCCATGGCAAGAGAAAGGAGAGGTTAAAACGAAGTAAAGGAGTAGCTAACTCTTGACCCAGACTGGAGGCAGAGAGAGCTAATCAACACTCTCTTCTTTCCCTTCACTCACCCTTATGTCCGTCTCCAAACATCCTCTGCCTCAGGTAAGGATGCAAGCCTGCTGCTGCTTCCAGAAACATTCCTGTAGGGAAATTCAAGTAATAAATAGGAGCTATATCTGACATCTTACTCTGCTAGATCAAAATCTCACTAAAACATAAAAGAAAAATAACTGCTCCCATTGATAGCATCATTTATCATTCCCACTCGTTAGGAGTATTGCTATTTGGAAGTAGCCTCTTTCCACTCTAAGTGTCAAGGGGATGGTTATATAGGGAGTGGAGGATGTTAGATGTCCATGCACCTTCATTACTGACTGTTGAATAATTCTGGAAGAACTAAATCTGATTCACCCACAAACTATGAAGGTAATTTGATTCAAATCCCAAACCTGCTCCCTCATGTCTTTGCCACATGACAAAACTGAAAGCTGGAAAAGGGCATCTGTAAAAGAGACAATGGTGCATAACATACTCAAAAGTTACACATGAATGTCTATTAAGTTACACAGAATTGATTAATTTTAGTACTCTTCCTTCTCTTCAACCTAATCATGAATCAGAGGTTTTCAGTAATTTGCAGAGATAGAATTTCCATATTCAAAATGACATACTTGAAATGCTGGAATTGTTTAGACTATTAAGTGATTAACTTAATGAGCACTATTTGCTTGTTAAACTACATAATGTAAAATGAATACTACTTTCAAATATTCAAATAAAACACATAAAATACTAAACATAATTGCAGTCAACTTTTGATTATCTACGCTCATGGGGAAAAAGCGACCTGAGTAAATGGAAAGCTAGAACATGTTTCTGGAAAGGAAGAAAAGTGTCAATTCTTCTAAAAATAATAAACAAATCCCATTCCAATCAGCATGAAAATAGGAATTTTTCAATGGATGAAATGATTTTAAGGTTTATATGGAAGAATAAATGTAAGAAAATAAAACCAAGGAAAAATTAAAGAAAAATCATGAGGGGAGTAATTTATCCTCCTAGATATTACAACTTACTACAAAACCTACCATACAGTACCTGCATTGGAAGGACAAATTGATAATAGAACAAAGAATGCAGAATTCAGAAACAGATTCAAGTAAATACAGAAAGTTAATTTACAACATGGGTAAATTAACTTTCTATATTTCAATTCATTTTTAATTTATTTTTACATGAGTTCTTTTAGGTTAAATGGTTTTTCATCTAAGAAAAAAGTCATAGCTCTACCTCACACTATATTTTTAAAATTCCAGATGAAGATTATAGTTTAAAGTATAAAAAATAAAACAATAAAAATAGAAGTTTGACAAAGAAGGCAAGAACATACAATGGAGTAAAGATAGTCTCTTCAGCAAGTGGTGTTGGGAAAACTGGACAGCTGCATGTAAATCAATGAAGTTAGAACACTCCCTCACACCACAGACAAAAATAAACCCAAAGTGGCTTAAAGACTTAAGCATAAGAAAAGACACTATAAACCTCTTAGAAGAAAACATAGTCAAAACATTATCTGACATAAATCTCAGCAATGTTCTCCTAGGGCAGTCTACCCGAGCAATAGAAATAAAAGCAAAAATAAATAAATGGGACCTAATTAAACTTATAAGCTTTTGCACAGCAAAGGAAACCATAAGCAAAACAAAAAGACAACCTACAGAATAGGAGAAAATATTTGCAAAAGATGAGACGGACAAGAGCTTAATTTCTAGAATATACAAGCAGCTCATAGAACTTAATAATAAAAAAGCAAACAACCCAACCCAAAAATGGGCAGAAGACCTAAACAAGCAATTCTCCAAAGAAGATACAGAAATAGCCAATAGGCACATGAAAAAATGCTCAATATCACTAGTCATCAGAGAAATGCAAACCAAAACTACCATGAGGTGTCACCTCACACCAGTCAGAATGGCCATCATTAAAAAGTCCACAAACAGGAGTTCCAGTGAAGATGGCGGAGTGGTAGGACCACAAACCTGCCTCTCCTCATGACTACAATGAAACCACAAATGAATGCTAAACAACCGTCGAAAAAAGACTGGAACCTAGCAAAAAAGATCTTCAGCAACTGGAAACATAAAGAGGGAACCACAGCAGGATGATAGGAGGGGCGTGCTTGTAATATAATCGGGCCCCATACCCCTCGGGTGGACAACCCACAGCTGAAGATCTGTTAAGTCACACAGGCTCTCCCACAGGAGTGAGAGCGCTAAGCCCCACATCATGCTCCCCAGCCCGGGGTTCTGGCATTGAGAAGAAAAGGAGAACCCAGGACATCTGGTTTTGAAGGCCAGAGGAGCTTGGCTCTGGGATCCTCACGGGACTGGGGGAAACAGAGACTCCATTCGCTTGAGAAGCATACACCGAAACTCACATGCACCAGGTCCAAGGGCAGAGGCAGTGATTTCATAGGATCCTGCACCAGACCTGCCTGCTGGATTTGGAAGGTTTCCGGGGACGCAGGGGAGGGCTGTGGCTCACTAAGGGGACATAAAAGCTGGTGGCGGACATTCTGGGAGTGTTCATCTACATGAGCTTTCCTGGAGGCTGACATCTTGTTTGGATCATTAGCACCAAGACCCAGCCCCACCCATCAGCCTGTAGGGAAGCCTCAGACCAAACAACATACAGGGTGGGAACACAGCCACATCCATCAGCAGACTTCCTAAGCCACAAAGGCCTCTAGACACAGCGCTACCCACCAAAGGTCCAGGACCAAGCTTCACCCAGCAGTGGGCAGGCTCCTCCTGCCAGGAAACCTGCATAAGCCTCTAGTCCAGCCTCACCCACCAGGGGCAGATACTAGAAATAAGAAAACAACAATCCCAAAGCCTGTGGAAGGAATCCACAAACACATAGAAAGATAGACAATATGAGGTGGCAAAGGAATATCTCCCAGGCCAAGGCACAAGATAAAATCCCAGAAGAAGAAATAAGTGATGAGGAGATAGGTAATCTATCTGAGAAAGAGTTTAAAGTAATGATGGCCAAGATGTTCAGAGAACTCAAGAGGAGTATACATGCACAGAGTGAAGTTTTTAGCAAAGAGTTGTAAAATATAAAGAATACTCAGAGTTGAAAAATAAAATCACTGAAATGAACAATACACTAGAAGGAACCAAGAACAGACTAAATGAGGCAGAAAACGGATCAGTGAGCCAGAAGACAAATTAGCGGAAATCACTGCTTCAGAACAGAAAAAAGAAAAAAGAATAAAAAGGAATGAGGATAGTTTAAGAGAACTCTGGGAAAACATGAAGTGCTCTAATATTCGCATTATAGGGGTCCCAGAAAGAGAAGAGAGAGAGAAAAGGACCTGAGAAAATTTTTGGAG